ACCACGAGGTGGTCACCGTCCTCAAAACACCCTGATCGACCTGTATGTGTCGAAAATTGCCGACGGGTTTCAAAAAAAAAAACTTCAAAATCGACTTCGAAGCTCAAAAAAGACATCGATACTTACCTTAATGGCTTCTCTTTCCACATATACTACCATATTATTGTCTTATAACTCCATTTTATAATTTTTGTGAGGTTTTGATTTTTTGAATTTGGAGATGTTTTGGAGGATTTAAGAAGATGAAAAAGATAGGGTTTAATTGGGTTGTCGCGGCAGTTACGAGCACGTGCGGTGGCGTTCGGCGGCGTTCGGCGGCGGCGGCGGCGGCGGTGAGGGTTGGAGAGGAGAAGAAATGGTGGAGGTTTTTTTTTTTTTTACAACAAAGGGTTTTTTTTTTTTTTTTTGGTTTTTGAATAGGTAATTTCTAAAAAATTTTGATATAATTGATATTTTGTATGAAAGGGTGTTTTTGTACTTTTCTTTTTATTTTGGTATTAAAGTAAGAAAAAACTGATAAATATGTACTCAATTTTGGTTTTAAACTTGGTAGTATTCAAGTAAGCAAAAATTGGGATTTAAAATAGTTGCCCCCTTACTTGAACGCTTTACCATTGAAGCTAGAGCAACATTACATTAAAGAAATACATCGAAATAATTATAGAACATAAATATATAAGGAATATTTTTATTTTTTAAAATCAAGGGTGTGCAGTTGCACACCCTAGAACCATAGTGGATCCGCCAGTGGGTGAACGACTCGGTAGATTATGTATGAAGGGTAAGGGTTCCCAAGAATTTTGCCAGAAAAAATAAATAGTGGGACGAACTCCAGGAGACCGAAGCCAAGGATTTAAACGTAGCGTACCATTTGTTATATTAGATCTAATGAAGGATTATTATTGTTCTTTTTTCATTTATCTAAATATAATTTTTCATCTAATGAATATTAAAAGATTGGTGATGATTATGATAATTTTTTTCAGAAGATCGACGATGATAAATAGAAAAAACAATAATGAAGATTAGGGTTTAAAGTTTAGGAAGAATATACTTAATATGATTTTTTTTTAATTTGTAATTAACTTTTAAATTATTGATTTTCTAATTAAAATTTTATGTTTAATTGAAAGGGTTTTTATGTAATTTTATTTGTATCCTAGGGGTTGTACTCTTTTTTACTAGTTACGTACTAATCATATGTGACACATTCTTATTGGTTAATTTATTTTTAGGATTTTGAATATCTTTAATTCATAACTTTTACTGTTTCACATTCCATTCCCCTTGCAGTTGGGTGGAACATTTAAATCATTGCACGAAATAGTAATTATAAAAGTAGAACTTGATTTTTGTTTTACTTTTTGTTAATTAGACCAAGTATTAAAAATGTAACAACTAAATATTTTTTAATTAATTATAATCGTTGATTCTAAGCACGATCTAATACAACCTAGTACGATCCTAAAAAAACATAGATTACAGTACGAATCTAGTAAAAATAGATCGTACATGAATGTACTGACATCGTACTTCATGCAAATTACTTTATTAACCCTACAAAATCAACACAGTAAATTAAAAGAATCATCAATTCTATTTTTTTTAGAAGATTGTTTAAGTCATTAAACGTAAAAGAAATCAAATTCTCAATAATTTTACACAAAACCCAAAATTCCCAATCCCTATTCGCTAAACCACACACAGATCTTCCCCATCGTTCTTCGTTGTGTGGCGTGTTCGATATTTGCTTTTGTATATGAACATGTTTATTATGACTTCTGCACATTCATCTCTTATACTTTTAACTTTTTAGGGCGGGTGGGTGGACTGAAGATGAATCTTGAAAATTCTACCAATACATGAAATTTCGATGAATTTAGAGGTCACAAATGAAAAAAGAATTTCTCATTATCTTTGATGTTAATTAGTTCTGTATCCTTTTGTGATGAGTCTGAGCTCTTAAAACCTCATTTGGATATTTAGGAAAAGTAGGCTGTTACTTATGTTCTTTTGGACAAATTTTTTTAAACCTTAGTACTTTAGAAAGGACGTTTTGGAAATTGATGTCTCAATTCAAAATAAATCGATAGTAGTAGTTGTTTGTCATATTTTTAAATCGATAGAACGAAAATTATACAATCTTGCAAAAATAAGTAATTCCGAACAGATTATTCAATAGTCATAAAGATACTAATGCCTATAGAGTTAGTTAAAGAATAACCAATTCAATGTGTTGAGGTACTTGTGATTCAAGTTGTTGCTTGGCATAAACTCGTGAAATTCGTTCCTCGACTAATCTCTCAGGCCGTAACGGTCTATGGGAACGAGTGGTCGGCGGATAACTTGGATCAATAATTAATTTCTCAAGCGCCACACAATTCTCTAAAATGCACCACACTAATTCAACATCACTTGAGCGACCATAATAGCCACAAAACTTGAAAACTTTAAGGTGCTCATGGGGAAACTTTACAGTATTCTTCACTTGTCCATCTGACCTCGTGGAATCACAACAACATAACTGCAAATGGAGGAAAAAAGTAAATAACTAAGAAATACGTCGATTGCTAGTATGTAAAAACAAATAAAGGTCCACTACTCACTACAAAAAAATTATAGTGATTAAATTTTAATATATGCATTCATGTTTGCTTCTTCTATAAGTTGATATATAATAAAAAACAGGGGAGAGGGGTTAGGTTACCGATATGATTATTGCAAACCTACCTGTAAAACAAATTCCTTTAAGTTAGGAGATGCCCTTATGAAAGGGGTTAGTCCGAAAAGACTTTTATCACCGCTTATCCAATATCGTATGGCCAACTTTTTCAGTTTAGGAAGTGTGGGTAGATCAATGTCCTGCGAAATTAACCTTAAGTAAGGAGTAATTATTATGAGTAAATAAAAAAGGATTAACAATCACAAACTCCATTGTCTAACCTTTACTTTGCTGTCCAGATTCAAGTAAAGAATCTCCAATTGGGAAATGCAGCACGAAAGTGTAGAAAGTTTTTTTTTGACAGCGCGATAAGGAATCGTTAAAATAAGAGATAACTCAACAAGCGCGGGAACATTCTCAAGCAAGAGCCCTTCCACTTTCGGCACAGTAAGTGAAATAAGATTCGGGGCTGAAACCTTAACAGATTTTAGACGGAAGCAGAAGCGCAAATCCAAGTGTTTTAAAGCGAGGGATGGACCACAAACTTCAAGATTTGATAGCTTACTTGTGTAAGTAACAACCAATTTTTCGAGCGAAGGGCAGTTGCGTAAAAAGAACTCAATAGCTTCACCGGTTACATTAACACATTTCAAAGACAATGCTTTGAGGGACTTAAAGTTAATAGATGAACTTTGTGAAGGGTGTTTCAAGAATTTCTCCGGGAAATTATAATGTGTATCCTCACAGCCTGAATTCTCAAATTTTGTTTTAAAATCCAACTCCAACTTCTCAACATGTCTCGAAAGCGCAAATTCAAGCCATTGAGTGATTGAATTCTTTACCGATCGGCTTAAATCGAAACATACTCTGAATTCTTTCAAGGTGGTCGCTTTGTGTGATTGGATGACCCGATTCACCCACTCTACATACTTGCCACTCTCTTCACCGTGTAACTCATAGTCTCGTGCAATCTTCAACAATGCACTTTCTGCATCAAAATCGAGGCGCGGGAAGTCTTTCCACAAGTTTATCCAGCGAGAAGAAAGAACACTAGTGCGTGCAGCTTCCTTCATCGATAGAAAAGATAGGATAGTGACGAGAATGGCATCCGGCAATTGACTTATCCGATCATTATCAACGTAGCATCTCTTGCCGCACTATTTTAAACAAATTAAAATCTTATCAGAACCAAAAGAACGATGCTAGTTGCAAATTGAAGATTTTATCTACAGAAATCCCAACATAACTTCAAATTTTCGAGTTGCTAATTGAAGGGGAAAAACAAGCATCAGAGTTTGAATAAACACATCAGGGAACAAAACCATGGGTTCAGTTTCTACCTTCATACATACAACATATAGCATGAGTGCGAGAAAAATAAATAAAGTTTTAAACTTTCGATTTACAGATAGATAAAAGAAAGAGAGAATTAAAAAAAAAAAAAAAAAAAAAAGGCCATAGCTTTTCTGCGAGCTCACCTTCTTGGGTCGAAGTTTCCAATCAATTGTGACTCCCTTCCCCACCATCTTTGGACAAAAAATCTCTCTCAATTGCTAGGGAAAAAAAATAATAAATCTGGAAATAGAAAACTGAGGCGCTACAAGTATTTTATTTTTCAATTAGAAATCACAAGATGTTTTGGTTATGGGCTGGGCTGGTTCAAAGTTCGATTCTAAATGGGCCCACTTTTTGTTTCTATTTCAATTATCATTGAACCAGGGCTTCTCTTTTTTTTTTTCCTTTAATATTGATACGAAAAAAGTAAAAACTACTTCTCAAAAAAAAAAAAAATAAAAAAAAAAAGTAAAAACTAGTAACCGCCTGAAATAAAAAAAAAAAAAAAAAAAAAAAATCGGTTGATTCTTAATTTTACCCTTATTGTAAATTTGTAACTAATAACGCAAACAACATTTTTTTTAAAATAATATATAATAAGATTTCTAAAATTTTGAATGGGAAAATTACAACCACCGCTGATGTATAGTCAAATTATAAACAACTCCTTCATATTTGGATAATTACAGTTACCTCTCAATTATGAATTTTCTTACACTTCCACCCTTATGGTGTCAAATTCAACATAATCTTCTAGATTTCGTGGAATATTCTCTAGTTTGTACTCGTTTTGTGTAAAAATGCAGTTTCTGATGCACCACAATTTGATATCTACAAGCTAAAAAACACATGTTATGACCATCTTGTTTCAAATGTGGAGCTCGAATGAAATAAATTAAACGGGTACATAATTGAGAATATTTCATATAATCTAGAAGATTCTACTAAATTTGATACCGCAAGGGTGGACGTATAAAAAGATTTATAGTTGAGTCGTTGACGAATAGTTGTAGTTACCAAAACATGAGAGGTTTTTTTGTAATTTAACCGTATCATAGGATTGTTGTAATTTACCCAATTTAGAAATGCATCTATCTAAACAACATTTTTGTAACATTTGAAGTATGTTTCGTTGTCAGTTATAAGCATTTTCAAATTACTGCCACTTGTATCCCATGAAATAGCAATTATATATAATTATTCGCGTGATTTAATCAAATTACTTTAATTAGTCATTAAAGTAAAATTGCAATCCATATAATAGAAGAGAGAGCTTGCAACCTCAATCATGATAGCTATATACTAAATCTTCTGAAAGTTTGATCCTTTAAGGTTTTCTTTTTTTCTTTTTTTTATTTTTTTTTATTTTTTATTTTTTATTTTTTATTGTAAGGTTGATCAGACCACAATGCAATCATTGATTAACTAAGAAATTACACATGCATTTGTTTCTCTAAAACTTAACTAAAATTATTAACTGGTTCACACTTGAATGATTTATTCAAATAATGAATTTACAATTACAAACGATGGAGTGCTGCACAAAGTTGAATTAAGTTTGTTTACGATTGAAGAAAATTAAAGCTTCAGCACTCCAAGAAATTGCGCCAGACTGCAATATATTAAATAAAGTTTCAATTTATTGCTCCTTACTCGAATTAAACACCAATTTCTCAGTCATTAATTAAAGCAGTTAACACAATTGGCTTGAATCGTGTGCCCACTGCACCTGTTATATGTGCATGCATGCATGCATATGTTTTACACTTCAACACATGCACAAATTCAAATCTCACTTCAATCTTCAATTTTTATAGAAAATAAACGAAAAAAAAAATGAGCGATTTCTGCAACGATGAAGTCGACAAATATACGAACGACGGCACGACTGATTACCGCAACAATCCTGCTATCAAACAGGAAACAGGGACATGGAAAGCTTGTCCTTACATTCTTGGTATGCATGCATGCCCTAATTTTCTTTTCTTTTTTTTTTTTTATTTAATTACTGTTATAATTATATAAACTTCTTTTTTTCGTGTTCTTATACAGGAAATGAATGTTGCGAAAGACTCGCATATTACGGGATCAACACGAATCTAGTTAACTATCTAAAAATCCAGATGAACGAGAACAACGTCGCGGCAGTTAACAACGTCACAAACTGGTCGGGAACTTGCTACGTCACACCATTACTCGGAGCTTTTCTTGCCGACGCGTACTTAGGAAGATACTGGACCATCGCCACTTTCTCCACCATCTACGTATTCGTAAGTCTCCGTAAATTCTTCCATATACTACACATGAACAAATAAACAAACAAAATCCGAGTTTTTTTTTCAACGTTTTGTCACAGGGAATGACAGTTTTGACCTTATCAGCCTCCGTAAACGGCCTAAAACCTATCTGCGACGACAAAAACGTGTGCAGTCCAAACGGGCTTCAAAAGGCCGTTTTCTACACGGGCATGTACTTGATCGCGCTAGGCACCGGCGGAATCAAGCCATGTGTTTCCTCTTTCGGTGCGGATCAATTCGACGATTCGGACGAGTCGGAGAAGAAGAGCAAGAGTTCTTTCTTCAACTGGTTTTATTTATCTATAAATATAGGGGCGCTTGTTGCGGCGACCGTGCTTGTGTGGATACAAACGAACGTCGGATGGGGGTGGGGGTTCGGCATACCGGCGGTGGCCATGGCTTTGGCTGTCGTCAGCTTCTTTTCCGGCACGCGCCTTTATAGGAAACAGAGGCCCGGCGGGAGCCCGTTGACTCGGATTTGCCAGGTCATCGTTGCTTCTTTTAGAAAAGTCGGTGTGGATGTGCCTAAGGATAAATTTGATCTTTATGAAACTGAGGAAGAACAAGAATCTGCAATTAAGGGGAGTAGGAAACTTGAACACACTGAAAAATTGAGGTAATAATTATTAGGGTTTTAAATTCTCAAAATATTTATCTTATATATAAAAGAAAGAAATGCAGCCTTAAGAAACCAAGGAAATTTTTGAAAAAAAAATTCTCTACTAATTTTTTATTCTATTTTTTTCTTTATTTTTTTCGTTCTTATCTCAGTTGCAACAACTTGCATCTTTCTTCATTATTCAGCTTTCCTTTTAGTGGCATCTTACAAAATAAATTTATTTTCTATTTTTTTTTCTCTATGATTTTTTATTATTATTATTATTGATATTTTTTCTTTATTAATTGATTCATCTGTTTAACAATCAGTTTCATATTTGGAAAATTGAGTTTATATAATATGTTGCGGACTAGGTTTATTTATCAAATTTGTATGAATGTTGATGTTGTTACTGTAATTTAAATATCACTAATAAATTTTATTATTATACTATAAGTTATTTTTATTATAATTGTTATTGTCACGTATTAAATTAAAATTTTTATATGTGGGTATGTTTATTTACCTAATTGCCCCTGATTTGTTATGTTCGTTGGCCAACTGATTCAGTTTCTTCGACAAGGCAGCAGTAGAGACACAATCAGACCGGAAAAACGGGTCGAAAATTAATCCATGGAGAGTCTGCACTGTAACTCAGGTCGAAGAACTCAAGGCCATAATAAACCTTCTTCCGATATGGGCAACCGGAATCATTTTCAGCGCGGTGTACAGCCAAATGGGCACACTCTTCGTCCTACAAGGAAACACAATGAACCTCCACGTCATCAAATCATTCGAGATCCCATCCGCCACTCTCTCTCTCTTCGACACGGTCAGCGTCATCTTCTGGGTCCCGGTCTACGACAAGATCATCGTACCCTTCGCCCGAAAGTACACCGGCAACAAAAATGGGTTCACCCAGCTCCAGAGAATGGCGATCGGCCTCGTCATCTCGATTCTCGCCATGGCTATAGCGGGAACACTCGAAATGATTAGATTGAATATGGTGAGAGAAAATGACTACTATGAATTTAAGCATGTGCCGTTATCTATATTCTGGCAGGTGCCGCAGTATTTCGTGATTGGGTGCGCGGAGGTTTTCACGTTCATCGGGCAGCTCGAGTTTTTCTATGAGCAGGCACCCGACGCGATGAGGAGCTTGTGCTCGGCGTTGTCGCTAACAACAGCGGCGTTTGGGAATTATTTGAGTACTTTGCTTGTGAGTATTGTGGTGCACGTTAGCACGAGAAATGGTGGGCCTGGATGGATTCCTGATAATTTGAATTATGGTAGGCTTGATTATTTTTTCTGGCTTTTGGCGGTACTTAGTGTATTCAATTTAGGGGTTTATTTGTTAGTGGCAAAATGGTATACTTATAAGAAGGCATTAGGCACAAGTGAGTGATACATATACGTACACCATGAGTATTTCAATTTTGAACTGCACTTTGTTTAATTTTATTAACGTTCTTTTGATTAGTAATAATTGATTTTTTCAATTCTTGTATGATCAAGTTCAAATGCCATTTACCAAATTACATGTTTAAATAAGGCTAAACAAATGTGATTATATGGAATAGAGAATAGAATTAATAGTGGATAAGTAGTGTGTTTGGGTGTATTAATTAAATTGAATACGAGTTTTTTAAGGTTTTTTTAATTACTACGACGATCGGGTCGAGACAGCATGTATAGAAGAATTTAATAAATACTAGCAAACCAAGCTCAAACGGAGCTGTTAAATGTCGAGTAGATTTGTTTGATTTTCAATCAGCCCATAACTAAAAAATCTCTTTTCTCTCTCACAATCAACTTTTTTATATGGGGCTTTATGCAATATGCATGTATATCCTATTATTCCAAAAAAATATGTGACAAATCTTTTCTTTAATCAAGAAAAGTATAAATTTTGACTATCATAATGGTGCTACCGTTTCTGGCGTTATGATCATATAAGAAACTAATATTTTGTTTGGCAAATATTATAATGGTGCAAACTGTTCACACTTCACAATAAATGTTGATTAAAAAGTATAAACTTTGATTATCATAATGGTGCAAACTGTTCACACTTCACAATTATTTTACACACACACATATTTTACAATTACGGTCACCCCTGAGTTATGGTCAAATTACGAAAATTCCTCTCTTGTTTAGGTAATTACACTCAGTCTTCAACCATGTATTATTTTACGAAAATATACCTCCATAGGTAAAATTAGGGATGCTAAATCGATAAAATCGAAATTTCGATACGCCAACATTTCATACCGTTTATCGAACTAAAAATAAAATTTGGTTCGGGAAATAACCGAATTATATAATTTTTTTTGGAAAAATATTTAAAAGAAAGGTGACTGTAATTATCCAAATAAGAGAGATCTTTTCGTAATTTGATATAACTCTTGCCCCATGGCGGTAATTTACCCCATATATATATATTTATAAAAGAAAAAAAAATTCCTTAATTTGAGAACAGAGAGTACCTTCGTCTTCTTCCTCTAATGGTGTAGGGTTTGTTGTGATTTCTCAAAGTCTGACTCAATTGAAAGATAATACTTTTTTAGCGACTCATTTGTCTATTTCCAGATTTTCAAAGATGGTGAGGAAGCGGAAAAATCTACCCAAGAAGGTTAGTTCTCAGAAAATCTGTTGCCTTATGCAATAGTTTAAATCGAAAGATTAGGACTTTATTATGTTTCCCCAATCAATCTTATATGTTGATTCAAACTGAACCGGTGTTAGATAATTAAACTTGTATTTCGAATTTCGATTGTTGTGTTAGTCCGTCGTCTTTAGGGTTTCAAACATGTATTAGCTCCTATACTTGTGTTTACTGTAATGTTTTTCTTAAGATCCAATGGATTATATTATCATATTTATTTAATTTGATAGTGTTCTACTAAGGGATACACGGGGGGTGATGATGAAGATCGGATAAGTGAGCTCCCAGATGATATTCTTGTTGTTATATTGTCTTTGTTATCGGTAAAGGAAGCTGCAAGTACGAGTATTCTTTGTTCGCGGTGGATAAACTTGTGGAAACACACCAATTCTCTCGACTTTGATGGAGACGCTGCGCTGTACAAGACTGCAAGGCTAAAGAAGGAGTTACAGTTCAACGAGAGGCGCAAGTATGTGAGATGGGTGAACTCTATTATCCAATCGCACAAATCTCACACCATTCAAAAGCTTAGAATCCAATTTTTTTTAAGAAAAGAAGAGGCAGATACACTCACTAAGTGGTTTGAATATGCGTTTTCCAGACAAGTTCCGTCGTTGGAGATTGACCTTTCACCACCAAATTTTATCTTTTTCGGCAGCCCTGGCCCAAATTATGTTTTCCCTCAAGAGTTCACCAACTCAGCCACTTGTTTCGATTTAAAACACCTCAAAGCATTGTCTTTGAAATTTGTTACCGTCACTCGCGAAGCTATTGAGTTCTTTTTGAATAATTGCCCATTCCTTGAAAAATTTATTGTCCATCACACAAAAAGCATGTCAAAGCTTGAAATTTGTGGTTCATCCCTCGCTTTAAAACACTTGGAGCTTTGCTACTTCTTCGGTTTGGATTCGGTTAGGATTTCAGCACCAAATCTTACTTCACTCACAATTAGGGTATTTTCGGAACTCATACTTGAGAATGTCCCAATGCTTGATGAATTGCGTGTTGGTTGCGGTTATAGTGATTTTTCTGTCAAGAAGTTACTTCCTGCATATTCTGCCTGCATTTCACAGTTGAAGAGTCTTACCCTAATTCTCAACAACTTAAAGGTTAAACAATTCAATTTATTTTTTTCTTTTTTGGTAATCATCTCTGTGTTTATTTACTTACGCATTATAAAAACTCAACTTCGTTTGGGTTTTACAGGGAAGTACAGATCTGTGCAAGTTTCCCGAAATGCCTAAGTTGAAGAAGTTGGTGATAGCCTATTGCTCAGTGGGTGAAGATAGTCTCCTACCATTGACTTCTTTGATAAGGGCATCTACTCGTCTACAGGAATTTGTTTTAAAGGCAATTTCTCACCTTAGTTGTTTTTGTTTTGGTTTTGGTCTGTCATCTCTTTGGCATATAAAACAAGAACTTATGACCTAGTTATAACATGTTTATCTTCTTGCAACAACTTATCTTGTTTTGTTTTGTTTCAATGAAATGCAGCTCGACTGGTATCAACTTTCAAGGTCAGATAGAGAAATCGAGACTAGTGTAAGGTTTCCCCACGAGTACCTTAAAGTGGTCAAGTTTTTTGGTTATTACGGTCGGAGCAGTGATTATGAATTTGTCAGGTACTTTATAGATAATTGTGTCGTGCTTGAGAGACTGATTATTGATCCCCACTGTGTACCATATGCACCGCATGATCCAATTACCCCTACTAAATTAGCTAAGGAAGTAACTGCAATGGAATGCACCAAGCGACAACTTGAATCACAAGTACCTGCCCACATCGAATTGGTTATAATTCCTTAATTAATAGTTTGTGTTGTATTTATGAGTTTAAACTATCACTAATTATGTTATTTTGATCATGGATATTATTGGATGTTGAAAGCATTTCTAATATTTTTTGGCATCTACTGCATTTCGAAGTCATCAATTTTATATTGCCTTTTAACAATATTACGTAAATATTTTTTTGTGAGAGTTGATAAAATATTTAAAAATAATTTTACCCGACTAAGCCCTTAGATGTGGGCCATGTGGCTAATAAGAGTAGTATATTGCTGCATATCTCATCTATTATATGGATTGCAATTTTACTTTAATGACTAATTAAAAATAAAGAGTTGAATATTCCTGCATATCTCATATAGTAATTACAGAAATTCCAATGAAAAGGATGATGAATTAAAGGGGGGAAAAACATGTGCGAAATTATGATGCATATATTTTCAAAGCCTATTTGCCACGCAAACGATTATATATTGCTATTTCATGGGACACGAGTCGCAGTAATTTGAAAATATTTCCTCTAAAAATATATATATTCATCGTAGACATTTTTTCATAATTACATTAACTTTAAAATGATATGATGTTACATGTTGCATCGATTTTGTTCACATGCTTGGAATTTCATGGGTAAGTAGTAATTACCCCTAAAATTTATAAAGAAAAATAATGTATGTTAGGCCCAATGAGGACTCCAAGAGCAACGCCCCAAAAAGGTATTGTTTCTTTGTCAAGTTCGTTAAACGAAAAAAATAAATTAAAACTTATAATTGGTTCTATTTAAGTTATATCAAATCTATAAAAGTAATTTTTCTATCATCACTAAAAATCATATGGAAAGTAAAAAAGAAAAAGAATAATATTTAAAAATAAAGCAGGGCCAAGATCCCTAATTGAAATACACCCCAGTTATTAAATTATTATTATTATTTATTTTGTTCCGGCAAGACCCCAGTTATCGTTTTTTGCTGCAGATTAGTTTTTGTCCGGCAATTGTGCTGAAAGATTCGAGCTTGATGGTGGCGAAGCAAGTCAGTATTGATCGGAAATTTCAACCCCAGACGGTGAGCTCTCAAAAAATCTGTTGCTTCTTCTGTAATTCATTCCTGGTTTTTTCCCTTTTCAAATTTGGAAGTAGAAATTTATTGATGGTTAATGTATAAGTTCAGTATGCTCAGCTCCTATTGTTTTTTTTTTTTTTTAAATAGTAGAGTTGAAGTTGTGAATTGTAATTTTACGGCAAATTGTTTATTAGATTTTTAATTGATAGTATCTTATTTTGGTGATAGTGTGTGGGTGATGATCGGATAAGTGAGTTGCCGGATGATGTTCTTGTTGTTATATTGTCTTTGTTATCGTTAAAGGAAGCTGCACGTACGAGTATTCTTTGTTCGCGGTGGATTAACTTGTGGAAACACACCAATTCTCTCGACTTCGATGCAGAGGAAGCAATGTGCAAGCTTGCAAGGGCAAGTGAAAGGAAGTTAGAGGAGGAGGAGGGCCTCAAGTTCATAGAATGGGTGAACTACGTCCTGCAATCGCATAAAGCTATCACCTTGAAAGAATTCAAAATATGTTTTGATTTAAGCGAACCATCTCAGATAGCAGTAACTACGTGGCTCGAATATGCGCTTGCCAGACGAGTTCAGAGGTTGGAGTTTGACCTTTCTGCTGCAAATTCCTTCCGTTATTACCGTGCCGACTTAAATTGTGTTTTCCCTCAAGAGTTACTGATGGAAACCAATGGCGTGGGATCTACGTCGCAACCCCCGTCGGACACTTGTTTCTTCAACCATCACCCTCGCACACGTTTCGATTTTAAGCACCTCAAAGCGTTGTCTTTGAAATTTGTTACTGTGACTCGTGAAGCTATTGAGTTCTTTTTAAATAATTGCCCATTGCTTGAAAAATTGGTCGTCCACAAAATAACAAAAATAACAAATCTTGAAATTTGTGGTTCATCCCTCGTGTTGAAGCACTTGGAGCTATGGTACTGCTTTGATTTGGATTCCGTTAAGGTTTCTGCACCAAATCTTACTTCACTCTCAGTTAAGGTATTTAACGAACTCATACTTGAGAATGTTCCGATGCTTGATGAGTTGACTGTTGCTTGCGGTTACAGTGATTTTTCTGTCGAAAAATTACTACTCTTTTCCTGCATTTCACAACTAGAGAGTCTTCATCTGTTTCTGAACAACTTGGAGGTTAGATAATTAAATGTTATTCTCTATTGTTTTATTTATGCATTATAAATACCTCTTTTCGTTTTACAGGGAAGTACGGTGCTGTGCAATGTTCCCGAAATGCCTAGGTTGAAGAAGCTAGTGATTGATTATTGGACACACGGTGAAGAAAGTCTCTTAGCACTGACTTCTTTGATCAGGGCATCTCCGTATCTGCAGGAATTTGTTTTAAAGGTAATTCCTCCTCGCCGTAGTTGTTAACACAAAACAAAAGAAATAAAGTTATTATTATTATTATTATTATTATTATTATTATTATTATTAGCTGAAACAAGTTACGTATTGTTTTGTTTTCCATGGAATGCAGTTAGGCTGGTTAGAAATCTCGAGGTCAGATAGAGAAGTCGAGAGTAATGTAAGGTTTCCCCACGAGCACCTTAAAGTGGTCAACTTTTGTGGCTATTATGGTCGGAGCAGCGATGTTGAATTTGTCAGGTACTTTATAGATAACTGCGTGGTGCTTGAGAGATTGATTATTGATCCACACACCGTAGCATATACTCCCCGTGTACCAATTAGCCCTGATATAGTAGCTGAGGAAATAGTTGCGATGGATTGCGCCAAGCGACAGCTTGAATCACAAGTGCCTGCGCACATTGAATGGGTTATTCTTTAATTAATTAATTGTTTGTGCCTGCTGCTGTATTTATGAGTTTAAACTACGACTAGGGAAGGTTGTTATTTATTTCTTTCGCAAGGTTTAAATTTTGTAATGATCATAGTGAATAATTTCGTTTTTACCAACCATCTTTAGGAGAGTTGGTACTAGGGGTGAGAACAGTTTCGGTTCGGTTCCGATCGGTTTCGGTTCAGTTCCAATCGGTTTCGGTTCCGTCTCGTTTCATAAAATTATCGGTTCAATTTCAATAATGGTTTGATTTTCGGTTCCGTTTTGGGCTCATTTTGGCCCGAAAATCAGCCAAAAAGTTCAATAAATCACCTCAAAATTCAGAAGAAAAAAAAATCAATAAAAACCAGCCCAAATGTAGGCCCAAAATAGGCCCGAAAATCAATTGAAATTCATTCAAGTATATATATATATATATATATATATATATATATATATATATATATATATATATATATATATATACTTAACGAAACGAGGTCGTGCTGTTGTCGGTTCGATTTCCTACTTGGAAAACCGAATACGAACCGAAATTGTCGGTTCACATAAAATTGAAACCCGAGTATGCGGTTTATGCTTCGGTTTGGTTGTGTCGGTTTTTGGTTCGTTTCTCGGTTCCTCAGTTTTTTTTTCTCTCCCCTAGTTGGTACTTAGCATTTATCAATAGGGTAACGGTCTAGGGTTCGAGTCCCCCCTCACCTACTTCACCTTGTAATGGACTTGAATTTACTCAAAAAATAAAAATAAAAAATCTTTTTTTATTTGGGAAGTAAGGAAAACTTAAAATATTGGAAGCCCATTTGGATTGGGACTTATTTATCTGTCGGCCCATTTTTCGGTTGATTTCATTGAACCATCAGTAGAGAGAGCTTTTTTTCTTTTTTCTTTTTTCTTTTTATACTAAAAATTATAAAATTCAGAAAATTTTAAATATTTTTAATTAATTTTCAGTGAGTCGTTATATTTACGAGTTAACTGCAAAAACTACCCCTGTGTAATCTCGAAATAGCAAAAACCCCCCTGTGATAAATAAACTAGCAAAAACCTCCCCTGTGAAATTATTTAAATAGCAAAAACCCCCTTATGAAACTATTTAAGGGTTGACTTGATATAAAAAGACACAAAAGCCCCTGGAGTCTTGCAATTAATAAATTCTTATATTTTATAAATATTTTAATTATTTTATTTAAAAAATAATCAATTTAGTTGTTTACTATTTTTTTTATTTCTAAACAAACAAATTAAAAAGAATAAATATACATATAATATGTATATATATAAATACATTTTGAGGGACAATTTTGTCATTTCAGGTCTAAAAAATCAGCTAGGGGGGATTCTGCCTTTGACTAAATTTCACAGGGGGGTTTTTGCTAGTTTATTTATCACAGGGGGGTTTCCGCTATTTCGAGATAACACAGGGGTAGTATTTGCAGTTTACTCTTATATTTACTGATTGAGGTGATGTAATTATTGATTATAATTTTCTGCATTCGAAAATTGAATTTACAATTTATTATTCCAAGATTTGGTGAATTGAACAACTCTAAACATAAATGATGAGTTGCTTGTTCTAGACTTGTTATATTCTTGGTTCTGAAAAAAGAAAAATCTATGAAATAAGTCAATTGAAGCACATGTTTAGGACCCATATCATTAAAAAGTTCTTATAAAAAAAGAATAAAAAGGGAAAAAGAAATGAAACATATTAATAACTCGTGTTATTTAATTAATTATTTTAAGCAATAAATTAGGATTTCTAACTATTATGAGTGTGGAAAGACTGCTGTTATTTCGACTAATTAAAGCCAGTAAGTACATTAACCACATTAGTACTACTAATATTATTATAATAATATTTTTTGGGGGGGACATAGTCAAATCATATGTTAAAGAAGCCAAGTATGAAGAAAATCAATTACTCTCTGGGCCAGCCCAATCCAAATGGGCCCCCAAAACAAAACGAAATTATACAGTACAAAATTTAAACCGAACCAAACTTGCAAAAAAATTAAATAAATACAGCAGCTGAAAGAAAACAAAAAACATTAAATGTTTTATTTTATTTTTATTTTTGAGAAAATCAAAATTAATTATTGGTTGGATATGAAAAGTGGGTTATGTTCTTTTCACCGATCTGTTTGGGCCGCTCTTGGCCCAAGAGCCGAGCTTATATTTGAGCTCATTAGCCACATCTAAGGGCTTAGTCGGCTAAAATTATTTTTAAATATTTTATTAACTCTCATAAAAAATAATATTTGCGAGTTTGATAAGTTGTTCGGTCTTATTTCCGAGTCATTATTTAAAATATTCCGCCCTATAACAATCGAAAGTGATCATGCAATAAAAAATCATAACTAGTATATAAATAGCATTCTAATAATAATAATAATGATAATAATAATAATAATAATAATAATAATAATAATGATAATAATAATAATAATAATAATAATAATAATAATAATAATAATAATAATAATAATAATAATAATAATAATAATAATAATAATAACAATAATAATAAAAAAAAAAACCATATCGGATTACGATTATGACCATTTCTTTTAACAATTAGAGTAATACATAGAAAATTTCTAATAAAAACAACTACATCAACCGGGAAGGGATAGAATTATCTTACATTTATGTGGATTATAAAAAGTCGATGTCTATGATAATTTTATTATAATTTATTTACGATGGTTAAAATTATTCTGAATTTTACACTTGGCATACAAAATCAAAATCAAAATCAAAATCCAAAAATATATACTATTGTCCAACTCAAGAATTAGAGTAGTGACCTAATTTGAGGTGATGTATTGTACTTATTATAATTTATGCATGAATTACTAAAATCGAATTTACAATTTCTTCCAATATTAGCTCAATTCAACGACTCAAAACACCAATGAGCAATTGCTTGTTCTACACTTGTGTGCAATTGGTTCTCAAAAAAGAAAATATATCAAATAACTTGTTACTTAAGTTGCTGTTCAATTGAAACACATGCTTAGTGGGCTCCATGCTAACTAGTCATATTATCATCAAATATTTGTTATTAAAAAAAAAGAAGAGAAATGATAAAATTAAAGATATCATTAAAAAGTAGCCATCAATTGAACATATATGTACTAATTAATAAAAAAGAAACTATAAACATATTAATAACTAGTGTTATTTAATATTAATAAGCATGGAGAAAACACACACACACATAAACGATCAGTTGCTTGTGCTACACTTGTACAAAGAAAATCAATCAAATTAAATAGGAAAATAAATTGTTACTAAGATTGATCATGCTAAATGATTTAAGAGGTACGTACTAGTGTTGTGTTGGTTGGTCTTTCTTATGTTTACTTCATTTCTCTACTCAATAAATTTTATATATTATGGTTTGTTTTAACTGTTTATCACAAGTCTTATAAAAAAAATGAACGGCTCTACACTTTTGTTTAAGTAAATTTACATATTCCAAAAAAAAAAAAAAAGAGGAGGTGGCCTGGTGGAAACTTTCTGATCTAATTGATCAATCCAATTCATGTTATGTCAATTGAATTGATCAATCCAATTCCGGGCAGATCTCTACTTATATGATGGGCTTTCTTTTAACCAAAATAAGACCCCAATTCGATTCTAAAATCCAACATTTATTTACTCTCAGGCCCAGCCCAATCTATTAAACTAAATATACACTTATGTAAGCGGGTATTTCTATAGCTGAGGTGGTGATAAATCTCCTCAAAAGGTATCGAGTTCGATCACCAACTCCGTCAGGAACTTTTTTTTTTTTTTTTTAAAGGCTAAAATGAGGCGCAGACCGATTCGAACATTTTCTTACCGATGTGAAAAACTAATTTCAATTCCATTACAAAGAAATATCGGAAATATCAAAAATATTTTTAGATATTAAAATCGGATTGGAATTCAATTTATATTAGTGTGTATACCAAATTCTATCTGATGTTTCTATAGGTTAGCTGGTATCAACTCAAATTCTATCGTGTTCGACCACCCTCTTTGTTCGTATTTTTATATATTCCATTATAAGTCGAAAACGATATTGAGATGAGTATATTTTGTTTCCAAATTAGGAACTCAAAATTTCAATTTTTTTTTTAATTACCTATAATAAGAAATTCAATGTGCGCAGGTACTTGCGATTCAAGTTGTCGCTTGGCGTAGTTCCTTGCGGTTATTTCCTCAGCTATCAGGCCTCTTTGGTACATTGGGAATATATACTAACTCGTGGGGATCAATAATCACTCTCTCAAGCACGACACAGTTATCTATAAAGTACCTGATAAATTCAGCATCACTGCTTCGACCATAATAACCACAAAACCTGACCACTTTAAGATGCTCGTGGGGAAACCTTACACTACTCTCGACTTCTTTATATGACCTTGAAACATCATACCAGGTGTACTGCATTTCAGTGAAACAAAACAAGAGCTAAGTTGTTTCTGTTGTTCCCGATACATAAAACGGGTAGTGAATTTAGTAAATTGGTTGAACAAATTAATTAGTGAAAATACGAAAAGATTAGCCGAGGCGAGTTGACTCTGTCCTTAAGACGAAATTTCCCCGCAACGGTGCTAACGGATTAAATGGAAATCGTCTCCCAAGATACAACGACAAAGCTTGGAATAGGAGCACTCCAAATCCCAAGTACGACGAACTGTACTTTGTGTAGAACTTTTCGAGAGAATCTGTGAAGGGTAGGCTTAATATGTAGTATGCTTGTTTTAGATTGAAGTGAGGAATTTTGGGAAAGTTAGGGTCTATTTATAAGGTTCGAAAAGTAGTGTCTTTTGGAGCAAAAATGTACCTTTTGTTTGAATGGTTGCACCATTTCGAGTTGAGCCAATTGGGAGTGGTTGCACCATTTCGAGTTGAGCCGAATGGTTTGCATTGGTTCGGCCGCACCAATTCAGACCAGTCAGACCAATCGAGATGGACTTCGAGTAATAAGGGCCCAATGGGTTAGAAGCCCATGACCTAATGGTTTTGGCCCGTCCCAATATTTTGATATATATACAGCTCCATAATTCTCTACTTTTCCAATGTG